CTTAACAAAACATTTCCATTAGGAGAAGCGCGCTGCAGTTTAGTAAACGATGCAAATAAAATACAAATAAACACATGCAAGTGAAGAAACATTTTGATTACATAATCACCTTACATGTAATCCATTACTCACCAAGCATGGCTGTAGTGAGTGGTGGAAAGTACCTAAGTACATTTAATCAAGTATTGTACGTAAGTAATTTTCTGACATAATTGTACTTTACTTGAGTAGTTTCATTTGATGCTACTTTATACTTGTACTCGGCTTTGTAAAGGAGTACTTCTCCCCAGTGTGGCTGTAAACAGGTTGCTCTGTATGAACAGCATTAGTGTGGTGTATGTGTGACTCCCTGCTCTGTCAGTCCTGGCTCCATGTGCCCGCTGAGGCCTCCTGTCTGTCCTCCTGTCTGTCTGCTTGGCTGACCTGCAGCGGCACCCTCCATATGTGCCCTCCCTAACACCTTCTGTCACTGTCACACAGAACGTCATGTAAACTGGTGGTCCCTGTCTGACTCTCAGTCTGTGAACCTCTTCATCTTTCAGCCCACAGCTTTACTTCACTCGCATGGTAATCTGAATTCTGCTAATAGTGTATGTAATTCTCATACAGTATATATATATTTATTTATGTAAATAATGTATCAGTTAAATCATTATTTGTTATTGTTGCTAACTTTCAAAAGTCTATTTTCTCACCATAGCTAATAATTATATTATGCGATTATCATCTTTAAATGTCAATTATGTTTTGTAACGAGGAAGAACTTATTTCTCTATTAATTTAGTTTGCCAGTTATTTAGTTAACTATTTGCTAAGTGTTACTTTTAACAGTGTTTCTTCTCAGTATAGCTAATAATTAAATGTAGCAATACATCTTTAAATGCCAGGATGTAACATGTATGTTTTTTTTTTTTGCGTGAACCAACTCCATCAATAATTCAGTGCCATAGCAAGTCACACTCATCACATTCTTTGCCATGAATGTGCCATTGCATCACATGAAATCTGTGCTTTTTCTGACCTAAAGTCAACAGTGTAGTAGCCCTGTTGGCTGGCTGGTGCAGCGACACGTTCTGGCAGTCCCACCTGGCTCTGCACCATGGCTTTTCACACCACGGCCCAGTGGAGCAGCAAAGCCCCTGGTAGCCTGGTTACATTGGACCTGGGCAATTTGGACAATAATTAAGTCATTAATCTTCCCTCGACCATATGAAAAGGCTGCATCCCATTACCGTGCCCCCCCTCTGAGTAATGTGGTTCACCATACAATCAGCCATTCACCTGATAAGAAACCAATTCAGCCGCTCTGCTTCTCCGTAGCGTTAGCCGCAGACGCCGCCGCTCACCTTGAGTTAATGAAATGCCTAAACAAATATGTCCTCTGGAATCTAATAAACCCAACCACTATAGAGTGCAATATGGCCAACGCACAGGGTATATGGAGATCTAAATTATCTGTCTCACAGTGTGCTGATGGTTTGCATTCAGGTAGTGGATAATCTCTCTTCTGTGCACTGGAACTGATGATACAGCAGCTCCAGAGAAAGCAAATAACTGGCAGTCACATTATAACTAAGCTATTATGTGTTTGTGTCTTCATAATTCATAATAAAAATAAGAAACAGTCTCCTAAGTATACAGTAAGTGCACACTAGTCTTTTTAAAATCCATAAAATAAGTAAAATAAATTAAATATCCCGCCTTCCTACACAAATCACTACAATTTCCACATACGTCTTCCTTAATAGGGACCAAACAATCAATAATTCAGAGCAGGAATTAGTGGTGGAATGCAATCCTGAACTGGAACACTGTCCAACAACTGTGTGAATAAGTGTATTTGTGTCCTTGAAGTCGCACAAAGAAGACACCATTGTTGGATGTAATACTTTGAAGTTGTTAAGCACAAACTGTCAAACTGCCATTTAGCTGTGGAAAACATGTTGACCAAACTGCAGGGTGGGAATAAAGTCTCAGCAACCGTTTTCACTTTATACAATAGTAATGAACGAAGATCATTGAAGGTAAGGGGTTGAAGAGCATGTTGGAGAGGAAATGGACAGAGTAGGAATTGGTCTGAAAGGGTAAAGTGGTTTCAGAGGGTAAGTGTGTGTGCTCTCAGGTGATGAAGGTACTTCAGTGTCTTCTTCAAGCACGGAGAGGGCTATTCTAATAAACACTTAACCATGTCCCCTTACTGTTACTGTTACCTAATACATGATAGTCTCACTATGATGTGAGTAGTTTGCTTATCCACATTCTTCTTTCTCTTTTGATGTATATTTTTTAACAGCATGGGAAAAAAATGCATCAGCATGTTTAGGGAGACTTTTCATTTTTAAACTAGCCAATAGAAGCTCAAGTGTTACATTGTGACGTCACTTTGTCGCGGAAGTAAAACAATTACTACAATCGAAGAGTTTTTAGACAGGGGGGTGTGTAAGAAAATCCTTCTGGGGTGAACTTTGGGGTTTGAGCCTTTGCAGACCATTTATATTCACAAAAACCTATATAACACACTACAGGAAAGGGAAGCCCCAAAAAGGCATTATATGGAGCAGTTTCTAAAAATGAAGTTTGAATGCATCATGGCAATAATACAATTACATGTCCCCCCGGTGGCGTTTCCATACACCTACTGTTTGAGACTTGTCTCACCCATCAGAACCACACACTGACAGAACTGTTTTTCCTATTCTCTTCTCCCTGCCTCCATTCATTAAATGTCATGCATACAGTAACATTTTATAGACAGCTCAAAGCAACAGTGGATAGCTTACTTATGACTCATTATTATAAGAAAAAAGGCTTGGAGGGCATTTCAAGGCTTCTGCACATTCAACTCAATGCAAGTTTTGGGGAATTAGTCATATGCTTATAAAACGGTCTCAAGCGCCATTCAGAGCAGGCATCTCCCTTTGTGTGGCATTACAGTGTGTAATCAAGCGCCGCACTTTCCAGGGCAATCACGTCCTTTATCACAGAGGAACTGTCGCCAACCACCTACAGAGTGGGAGGAGAAGCCCTGTGGGTAATTGAGTGTGGTGGGTGCCTGATTGGGTATGGTGAGTGAGAAGTTTTGCAAAACTCTCCCCCCCTGCCCCCACAATTCAAACTGACACGTCATAGCTGAGGACAGCTATCCACACTCAACGTGGGACACACTTTCACGCCACTTACTTTCAATTGATTTATTTATTTGTTAGAAAACTTCAGCCTTGTGCACAATAAGCTAAAGACTGATTAAGTGTATGTTTCATACACTTTCTTTTGGTTTTCCAACATCTAACACTTTTATTTGAGATTAAACGGAGGGCACAGAATTGCTTGAGGTAATTAGAGGTGACATGATGTTTATGTAACCTCCAAGCCTCACAAACCAGATGCAATTATGGGCTCCTGGTTCCTGTGACCCCGGCCCTATAGCGGAGCACGGGCGAAACTGCAATCCCGCGTCCCAGGGGTGAGCCTGGTTTTGGAGGGTGATGGGGGGAATGTGGTAGGGTGGAGTGGGGGCAAGCAAGAGTTGAGTTCTTTTCACAGCTCCCCCTGACGGGAGCTCTCGCTACCTAATCCAAAGTGACGGGCACTTCAGTGGAGAGGGCGTGGAGCCCCCCAATTTCCGCCAGGACCCCACTGCAGGGGAAGCAGAGAAGCCAAGGGTTGGGGTGGCAGACTTATTGTGGCCCAGTGAGAAAGAGCGGGGCAGGGGCCTCATTACAACGCTTAACTGCACTCACAGGCCCTCATTAACCCACCATACCAGTGACAAATCAAAACAGACAATAAAAAGAGGTCGCCGTTTGAATGAAGGCCTCCATTTGAGTGGAGCTGCAGCGTTGGAATTTTATGGAGCTTTTACACAAATACATTTCCGCAAACATTGAAGATTGCAACAATGGGTTTCATCTCATGTTAAATGTGATTATTCAGCTTGTACATACACTTTATGTTTGACTGCTTCCATGTAGGCCTATGGACATCTGGGAATTCCAGAGGAAGGTAATGAGGGAGCAAGAGTGTAGTTAAACAAAACCCAATATGTCCGCCGTAATAAAAGCACAGTAACGCAGTGCTTTAGGTAGTCGTGGAAGACTCCCTTTAGTGCATGGGAATGGATGATGAGAGATGACAGGCACTTACGTAGGTTGCTAATGGGATGCAAAGCCAGTGCAAAGATAGAGCCCAGCCTGTATCCCCCCCGCCCCCCCGTGCTTGGGGGAGAAGAGCTTGGCACGCCAAATGATGCGTTTCATAGAGACAATTAAATAGCAAATCAATGCTGCTGCCTCTGTGAAATAATTAGAGATTAGCCGACTTCAACCGCAACCACATCGTGGAAAGCATGCAATAGTTGCAGGAGAGATATTAAAAGGGGATTTTGAGGTATATTCCTGGAAGATCCTGCAGATTAAACCGTCCAAAAGAAAAGATTAAACCGTCCAAAAGAAACCTGTTTTTCATTAGGCCTCAGGATTCTTTTAAGACGTTTTTTTTTTCTTTACAAAGTGCCTCCTACATAGTGTGTATACCTATATACCACATTTACTATGCTATGATTTTTTACTTTTCTAACTCAACGCTAGAATTCAAGTAGGTGGATGAAAGAAAGAGCTGTAATCACTGAAAGGTAGATGAAGTGGAGAGACAGCACCTAGCCTGCTCTCAGCTCTGCAGTCTGAAAAACATGGAGATGAGGTCACGCTGTTAAGACCAGCAGGCCATCACATTCTGTATGTCACATCATCAAAGGCACTCTCGTTCCCATTTTAGAGCCCTTCATCTGCATGCATCACCATACGGGAGAGGAAAGAAACCGACTCGCTGGAGGTCCATGCACTGTGCATTATGTGCTTGTAGAGGAACGAGTGTGATGAAGAGGTATTGTAGAGGGCATGAGCGACAAAGGAGCAATACAGAAATAGACGATGTGAAAACTAATGTTGAGAAGAGCACATGGGGACTTTAAAGTGTAGAAAAAGACAGATGGGCCCACTTACCAGCCTGGTTAGTGGTGATGTTGACTGAGGAGTACTGAGGGGAGTACGGGCTCTGGTCTGACACGCCGTTGACAGCCTGCACCTCGAATGTGTACTGCGTGTGGGCCAGCAGCTCACTGATGTAGACCCGAGGCTCTGTCAGTCCCAGCTGACGGGGCTGGAACTGGACGTTGTCCCCGCAGCGGGTGCAGCCTCCACGGCCTCCACCACAGCTCTTGCAGATGATGTTGAAGACGACGTCCTCGCGGCCCCCCGAGTCCCGGGGAGGTATCCACTCCAGCATCACGGAGGTTTCATTCACGCTGGAGATGACGGTCTGTGGAGCTGAGGGGACGGCTGGAAAACACAAGAGAGTTTGTAGTAAGCACTTAAGCATAAAAAACAATACATAGATAGCTTGGTAAGTGATCTCTTGGTCAACTGAAGTGTCACTACAGGGAACACTACAAATATTTATCAGTAGTGGAATAAGTACATGACCTTTGATCTAGGTTGAAGTAGAAATAGTCAGTTGTAAAAATACTGTGCTGCAAAAAAACTGCATTCAAAATCTTACTTAAGTAAAAATATAAATGTATTGGCATATAAACATACTTAGTTATGTTAAGTTGTTAAGCCCATTTCAGAACCATGTACATTTAATTACTTTATTAATATTATTGATGCATTATTGTGTGTATAGCATCTGGTAACAAGGGACACACATTTTGTGGAGTGGAGGTATAAAACTAAAGAAAAGTACAAGTACCCCAACATAAAATTTAAGTGCAGTACTTGAGTAAAATAACTTAATTTATTTCCAAAAATATCGATTTTTTTCCCAAAATATCGACTTTAAGATATCCAAAAACTACCGAAAAGTGTTTATTGTTTAGCTTTCTAGTATCATTGTGTTTTCCTTGGTAAGTTTTGCTGCTGGGGGAAAATGTCTCATCTAGAAAGTATTTTGAATTCTTCTAATGATACGAGAGATATTGTGTTGTTTACTTGATGGCGTTGAAGGCATAATTACCGAATGCTTAAATAACACAGGAGGAGCGGAAAAATCCACAAGCTCTGTAACACACTATAGCTTCTTATAGACGTCTGAGCTGACTGCGTTCCAATCTGGCAGCGCCTCTTCCCCCGGGATGCACATTTACACTCTCTCATTTTCCATGCTGGTGTCCACTTTGTCAAGTGTTTTCTTAACATCTATTCCTGACAACTTTCTCCTGGAGCATCGTATAGAGTTACTGCCGCGGAGAGGAACCTACTGTTTCTCCTATTGAGACATTCTTAGCAGCTAGGCATTACCGGGGGGAAACTTTCCACATGGGGCTGCATGTTGAGTGACAGGGCAAACAAACAAACAATGAGAAGTGTTTATCTTTTACAACCATGTGCACCTAATTATGGAAGTCGTACCCTGCAGGACTAATGAGATAAAGAGTTCTACTCCGCCCACAGCATCCTACATTCTGAATCGATCACTTCTTATTTAACCCATTTTAATTGGCAGCAATTAACAGATCTCCGGCTTTGGAAGGAAGCCTGTTGGAAGTGCCCTTCTTGGTGTCTCTTGAAACATGGAAACATAACTCCTCCTTGGCTTCTCCTTCTTGGGGAGGAGGACTAATATCCCCCCCCATTAGCTGGCGGGGCCGCTCTGATGGGGCCATTCCCTTGCTTTAATCAGGCCGGACCCTGCTGCGCTTAATACGGGTGACGTGACGCCGCTGCTTTCTCATTCACAACAGCTGCTCGACTCCCAGAGCCAGGCTTATGCAAATCTCCTTTGTTGGAGACCATCAAATCGTTTCCCTCCTCTCTTCCTTTCAACAGGCAGAGAGGGAGAGTGAGGAAAAAACACTACCACAACGTTGAAAGGAGATTTTTTTTTTCTCACTCACCCTTGTTTTGTTTTAGTTAGACCACGCTCTATGCACAGAATCTTTCTCACATACACACAACCCCTCTCAAATTGCCTCTCCTTCTTCGTTCCTTTCCCTCACATTTTTAGCCCTCCCTCCTTCACTTTTTTCTTTGGTCTATCCTTCCGTCTCTCCTTCTCTTTCTCAACCTCTGTGTCAGCTTCAAATTCAAATTCAAATTCAAACAGCTTCATTGGCATGACAAGAGAGCGTCTCGCCCAGGCTCATTCTCCGTGCCTGCCCCCTTCACAAAGCTCCGCGCCCGGCCCAGTAACCCCAGGTCTGGCTTGGAGTACGGCCTGTGTGATGTTGAGGAGGGGGCAGCCGAGCCTTGTGTGTCGGGTCAGATCTGTGGACAGCAACACTATGGGCATGTCAGCGTCCTGTTCGCGTGAGGGACAGCTCTGACAGGGTTTCTCTGTTTGCAGTTACACAGACGACCACTGTCCTTTGATCCTGGGGCTCATCTGCTTGCGGGTGTGAGATGTGTATGTGTCAAAGGGTTCATATTTAAAATCAAAGGCTTTGTGGGTTACGCATTCATGCCTGTGGGCTTTGTGTGTTTGTGTGGAGTGCAAGTTCACACATAACAACCTCAACACTATACGTACTTGTGCAGGGCATCTGGAGAGGGTCTGAGTCGGTGCGGTAGTAACCGTTGCGGCAAACGCAGTTCATGGCGCCTTCGCTGGTGGTTCGGCTGTTGATGGGGCACTGCAGGCAGGGTTCGTCTTTCTGAGTCGGCTTGAAGAAGCCCGACGGACAGCCTGAAAGAGAGAAAGAAAGGTATGAGGATGAGGAAGTGTATAGAATGAAAAATCATATGAAAAAGATTAATATATGACACAAGTTGGACAATTGGGGTTTTGATGAAGTGTAAGGTGTTAGGCCTTGACATTTTTTTGTATCATTCACTTAATGATTTTGACCAGAGAATCAGGAATTAGAGCAAACATTTTCAGAATCCAAGAAATTGCTTTTTATTTTGAAGAAAATACAAAACGAGAAAAGTTATTCAATCTATATAAATAGAAAACACATGTTCTGTTATGCGTCATGTTATGTTTAACTCTGTCAATCGACCAATAAACTATTCATTTGATCAATTTGGCACTAAAAGTGTGTCAACCGTATAATGGGCAGAAGGGTAAATGTATTAGCCTGTGTATACTGTATGTACCATCATCACATCTGATACCTCTTCATTAGTGCATGTCTATAGGTCCTGTTTGTGTGTGTGTGTGTGTGTGTGTGTGTGTGTGTGTGTGTGTGTGTGTGTGTGTGTGTGTGTGTGTGTGTCAAAAATCTGGAGTTTGACTGTGAATACATGCATATCACAACAGTTTGTGTGTGTGTGCTCACTGCTGTACTTTTTACACTGTTTACTTTCCATGTGTATTTACTGTAAGATTGCCTGTGCGCCTAGCTCCCACAAAGTGCGTGTAACATCTGTGTGTGTCAGTGTCCGTTTATGACTTCTTGTCCTTGTTGTTTGCTTGTGCGCACATGCACAAGAACCAAACCTCAGCAGTCATAAAACAAACATCCAGTGGGTTCCTTTTGGGAATGACCTAGTTGTTAAATGGGGCTGCCCTGCTGTCACCTCACAGAGGGAAACACACACATTTCAGCCGCAGCCCAGTGAGTCCAACTCTGCTGCAAAACTCACAGCCATGGCATCTGTTGGAGGACTCGGTGGGGGAGCAGTGGTGTGCAAATAATGGCTAATGGTGCGTTAATATGCAGGTCAGATGTACCTTTCAAGTGGAACACAACTTGTATGTTCTTGCCAATGATTGTTGCTTGTTGAATTAAGTGTTAAATGTTTAACAAATACTCTTTTGCTTGACAAACTGATACATTGAGAAATGGTTTCAGGACATTATTGACTGACTTTTTGCTCAATGGACCAAATAAAATGAAAAATAAACATGGATCAAAAAGAGATGTTCATTTAGAAAGTAGAGAGAAGGCCATGCTTAAAAATAGCAATGAGGGAAAACAGAAAGTTAAGTGTCTTAAAGAAAGAGCAAACGACATAGGGAGAAAAAGGAAAAAGTGAGAGAGCTTTTAAAACAGCTGAAACCGAGAAAAATAAACCCTCCCCCTAAAAAGAGAGGAAGCCCGGAGTGCTTTAGAAGTGATTATTCTAATTTAGCGGCTGATATAAATCTAAATGAAGTCACATCAGGAGTCTGTGGATGGCACAACACATTCACCCTGGGACTCCCCATCCGATTCTCTTTCTCTCTCTTCTTTCAATCAAACTCCATCTATACCTCATCTCCGAGACACCGTTTGAGGCTTCTGAGTGGCTAACCTCGGCAGCACCACACGCAGTGGGGACCAACAGAGGTATTACTGTGTTTAGTATTGCTTTTTGGGTTGGGCGAGTAGGAGGGATGGGGAAATGGGAGAATAGGAAGGAAGGGAAGAAGAGGTGCGGGAGGTTAGGAGGCCTATCTGGGCTCGCTGACAAACACCGTCAGACTCATATTCCCATCTGGGTCCCAACAGATCGGGGCGCCACGCAGCAGGTTGCCTCGGTCCCAGTGCCCACAGATGACTAAATACAGCATAAACAGTGTGTATACTAAGTGTGTCTGTAAATCTCTTATATTCATTACGTTGTAGAGTCCACCATCAGTCTAAATGTTGGTATGTGTATTGCTGAGTTTAACCCTCCTGTTATTCTCAGATTTACTTTACACCTGTTATAAAACTCAAGACAATGATCATATTCCACATTTTAACCAACATGTATGTCTCTGGTGCTTTAGGTGTCTTAGTTGACTACCTAAATAACCATTTAAATAAAACAGTACCCCAACCCTCCCCCACACACCTCTTTATACATCCAGAATTCCTATTATGTGACTATCAACAAATATAAAATAAAATCTCACTGATTGAAATAAAATGTTAAAGTAAGACCTTTTTCCTGACATTTTAAAACAAATCAATCGATGAGGCTTATTTTTATCATGTGTTGTTCTAAATATACATTTATTTTTAAGTTACTCAGTACCACTTAAACACCTTTTTCAGTTGCCAATAGGTGGAGCAGCAAACCACACCTCACGCTTTAGTGTGTAGCTAGTGTGGAATAGTGTGCAACCGAAGCTGACAGTCCGGTGAAAGTTTGTAACTATAGCGGTCATTTATCACTGCATGGGAGAGCTTCAGATAATTCTAGCCTTCACCAGAGGGTCAGCAGGCGACCGTCTTCTGACCTGACTGCCAAAACATTTAACCATCACCTCCCACAGTTCTGGACCAGGCTGTTTGTGTGTGGAGGAGCAGTGATCCCATGGTCTAACCCAGGCCAAGCTCATCTTTGATCCACCTGAAACTGAGAACTCTCCAGTCAGAAGCCCCCTTCACCGACCAGCCGAACTGTAAACCAAAGAGCTGTCCCCAAAGGCTGTGATTCACTCTTCCTCTGGTGCGTATACATGTCATCACACACCAATCACCATGCTGCATCTGCATTACTACCCCTCCCACCTCTGCCATGTTGTCCAAGCCTCACCCCAAAATAATCTTGTAGAAACCTTCCGACATTTTCAACTTTGACGCACAACCACCACTGATCCTCCACCCACCCTCCTACCCGTGAAGTCCCCTGTCTCAATCTGAAGATGAGGAACAGCAGGGGGGAGGGGGGGGGTGAGCAGAATAGAGGGAAATAAATTGATGAAGAACCCTTTTGATACACCGCTGCAGGCAAAGGAAGAGGGAATTGATTGAACCTTGATGAGAATTATATCAAGGGGCGCGTTCATTTGCAGCAACGGACCTGCTGCATGCGTCGGGGAGTAAGGAGCTCTGTACATATGTATGATCTGTGCTTGACTGTGATTCGGAGTTAAAGGGAAGCACAGGGGAACAAGCGGATTTCCATGATTTTCCTTTTAATGCTCTTCCGACATGCCCTCTGATTATACCAGCTTAGACCATGGAGGTATGAATAAGTTAAGTGTACATATTTAAAGAAATGAACCAAAATCTTTCCATCGATTTTGAGGCTAAAGTCAGATGATGGAAAAAGTCAGGTGCAACCAACAGGGGGGAGCTCAAGAGTCAAACATTAAGAAGAGAAACACAGAAGAAGACTCAAGGAATGTTCAGACCGTTAACGATTTGGGCAAAAACGAGTGCTGCAGTGATGACGTATATTTGAATGCCAACAACAAAGTTAGGGCTCCCTCGATAAGCAATGGGATTTCCCCATTGGATTTTTGGTATATTTCAGAAATAAGCTTTGTGGCAAACATGTTACAATCAGCAGAAATAAAAAGCGAATGTAAGGCTATAAACTAACTACATGGTTACATGGCAAATCTTCACCGCTAGGCTAAGGGCTGACTTGTGTTAATGACACAGAAGCTTTGGACATTCACAAGTGGAGCATTTACTGACTTGTTTTATGTCATACAACAAAATGTGGCAATCTCAAAAGCTTGTGTACACTACTTCTTACCAAAAAACACCAAAGACTTCGAAACGTGGGAAGCACAAGGGGTAAAAAAATATTTTCCGGGTTTTAGGACTCTTTACAGCAACACCACGTAAATTGGTAAATAGCATCAGTCCTTAAACTATGGTAATGGCTTTTAGTAGGACCTAAAATATCTGACAGCAACTGCCTTGTTGTTGTGCATTGCTGCCGCCTATTAAAAAAACTGGACTTCGCCTTTGCAGAGTAGCAAAAGAAAATATAGCCACATGCTTAAGGTCACAATTTTTTTAAGAATCTACATTTTAAATAGTATGTATTTATTGCAAAAATAATGTTATTTGCAATAATAACATATAAGACAAGATAATATGAGTATAATGTTGTATTGCTACATCTTGTATGTGCTCAGCTTGACATCTTGTTTTCTCAAAACTGTGATTTGTTGCTTATTATTTCAGTATTTCAGACAAATTACCCTAAAATCATGGCTAAAACACAATGACTAATGTGAATTGATTGTCATGTCTGTAATATGTTTGCATGTAGTAGTTATTTTGTACATGGAGCAGAACTTTATGTATTTACACCAACAATTCAACAAGGATTTCAAAGCACTCAAATACACAAAGAGTAATTAATTTGTACACTGGTTTCACAGCACGCGTTTGATGTATGGCAGGTTGACAGAATCAAGACCATTCCATCAGACCATTGGGGCGTCCATGCGTGTGTGTGTGCATGAGAGACAGGGTTGTGCATACAGGATGCCATCTGGTAGTGGCGCCTCACACCCAGCGCTACTCGTCCCTGTGTGTCGGATCAGAACCACCGGATCACGGATCCAGATCACTGCTCACACCAAACACAACTAAAAATAAACACACATACCGTACACATCACAAACACCAGCAATACACAGATGCTTTGAAAGAACGCTAATTGCAGTCTGCGATTGTCAATCAAACTTTTTTTTTTCTCCCCCGTTAGTCTCATCATTATCTTTTCTTCTATATGACGACTATTCTCCTTCAACCTGGCCCGTAAAGACCCCCCCAGGGACAGCTGAGATCGGTCTAAAGATGCTCAGAGATATTCATTAAGACTGCAGAAGACACTGAAGCTGCGTGACAACATCATGAACAGTGATTGGTGTTTCTGAAAAGAGGCATCGTGGAAACATTTCATGATGGTTCCAAATATACACTGAGAATACAGACATTGATGCCTTGGATGCACGCACCAACAAAATTGCCAACTTTTATCTAAAAAACAATACCAAAAGCATCAAAACAATGATCTTGTTTT